GCTATCAGAAAAAAAAATATATCATTGCAAGATAACTTACAGATACAGGAGCATCCACTGGTATCTCGGGTATGAGGGCCGGTGCCTCGGTTTGGAGGTCCACAGCCTGTGCAGCCTGTGCAAAGTTTCATTATCAGATACTTACATTTGTAAAAGAACACTTAATTGTGGCACACAGAATGAAGTGTAGAACTACAGAAGATCTAGATGAAAAGGTAATAACTCACTGAGATGGCCGTGCTGACTGCAGAACCAGGCATCGCTGTACCTTGTATGACTTGTTTCTGTAAAATAAAGTTTTAATTAACATTTATAAACAACCCACTTTTCTGCAGTAGAATTTTAATTGCGATTTACCGGAGTCACTTTTCTGGCCATGGCTAAATTTGGCTTTGCAGCTGCAAGATGTGAACCACTGAATCTTGGCTTGGTAAACTGAAAAACCATGATCAAAGAAATGTATAACGACGAGCCATTTACAAAAAAATATATGTATATATAATATATTTATGAGCATTAACAACTAAACTACTACCATGGACAAGGTCATTGGTTGTCGTGGCTTGTGGCATATAGTTCCATGTGTGGCAGGGGACGTCTGTGATGTCAATGCAGCCTGAGGTGCGCGTGCAGTTGACACCTCTGGTCTTGTAGGAGATGGTTGCTGTTTCAAGGCAATTCAAGAAAACAGGAGATATATTAGTGGTCACTTTTGGAGATATTTAAACTATACTAGATAAATATTATGGCTGCCCAACCTTCTGGATGTGGAATCCACACAAGCATCTCCTCACACCACCAAACAGGGATTGCTGTCCAGGCTGCATCATTGGACATTTCTCAATCTAAAAATAATGGTAGATTTAACTAAATCATTTGCTGTATGTGGTGACATCATTCTTGAATTTCATACTTATTCCATCCCATCTTTATGAATGTGTCAAAAGCCAGTTCTTGCAGTTACAATCGGTGCCATATTAACTGGGAAGTAAACATAAAATATATAGAAACATACCCTTTGATACAGCTCATGCCACTTCTTCTGTCTGGGTGCTGGTCTGTTTCCCTGCCCTGCAGGCCATGATCCTGTGGCAGCAAAACTCTTCAGTCGTGCCATCCAGACAGTGTCTGGCATTGACTTGTGTGATTTTGATGCCTTAAGAGAATTTTAAAAATAAAAGGTAGCAAGTCAAGCACTTATAAAGCTTTTATTAATACTAAAATAATGTATGTATAACAACATTATGAAAGTATACTCATGAATGGGTGTATTTACTATAATATAAAAAGAATAATTCAAAATGTGTACACTTCAACTACCTAATCAGATCACATCTGAGCTGGTTTAGCATTTTCTTGTCTCTGTAATCAGTGAAAATTATGTTTTTATGATAATCAACTTGAAGTTATCCCCAAACAGCAGACTTGTAACTTCTTGGCTGCTGTTTTATAACATTTAATATATATATTTATTATTATTTTATTTATTTATTTTTTAAATACTCGATTTTAAAAATAAAAGGTAGCAATTCAAGCACTTATAGAGCTTTTATTAAAACTAAAAGAATGTATGTATAACAACATTATGAAAGTATACTCATGAATGGGTGTATTTACTATAATATAAAAAGAATAATTCAAAATGTGTACACTTCAACTACCTAATCAGATCACATCTGAGCTGGTTTAGCATTTTCTTGTCTCTGTAATCAGTGAAAATTATGTTTTATGATAATCAACTTGAAGTTGTCCCCAAAGAGCAGACTTGTAACTTCTTGGCTGCTGTTTTATAACATTTAATACATATATTTATTATTATTTTATTATTATTTTCTTTTTAAATACTCGATGGATGAATGAAAACTCTATGACCGCGATTCCAGTGGTAACTCATCACACACGGCATTGCAATAGAAGGTCAGATACTTACCATATCGCTAAAAAGACAAACTTCTCTACTCAACGCAGACTAAATGTGTAACTAACTGGGAATCCCTCAATGTACCGGTAGCAGCTTCCTAGCTTAAACGCGATTGGTTAAAATCTTAACCCCGCCTTCAACCCTAAACGCGATTGTTCGGTGATATCAAAATTTTCTACTTTCCCAGACGTTATTGGTTAGTCATATTGAAATTTTGAAGAATACAGAAACACCATTGGCCCTTTTGTCAAACTCCTTCAACTCCGTTCAAGATTTTCCCGGCCGATTCTTTGACCGCAGGGCCTCCTAAGCCAGGTATTATGGGTTCGAGTCCCATCTGGGGTGGTCTCTTTTATATAGGGTAGTGGTAACTTCAAGCACTACTCCCATAACCTGACAACAGCCAGATGCATGTCTCGCTCCGCCCAGCTCCACTCACATACATCTGGGAACCCGCTCATTGAAAGTGTTTTCCCCAACCGAATTTATGGTCTGTCCAATCAGGATGCAGGGCGGGTGTGTCCTGGAGTGGAGAAGCGACCGTGAGATTCCAACAACAATGGCGGCTCGCATTGAGGAAGCAAGCGTTAGCATTGATGCTGCTATTTCTTCTGTGTTGTCCAATCTATCTTATATTGTTTCATTAAAAGAACATCAGAGAACGGCTTTGAAGGCTTTTGTTGGTGGAAACGATGTTTTCGCCCTTCTCCCGACCGGATTTGGCGAGAGCTTGATCTACCAAATGGCTCCTCCTCTCACAGCGTCACGGGTTAGCTTCGGTGTGAGTGGTTGAAATAGCACGTCAATAAAGATGACAGACAAGTGGCTTATCCAATCATATGCAAGGAGTTTTGATAAGGCCCAGCCTTCAGTAAAGGCAATTCCTATGGCGGGTTCCCAGATGTATGTGAGCGGAGCTAGGCGGAGTGAGACATGCATCTGGCTGTTGTCAGGTTACTACTCCCATGGATGGACACTCTTTGGCTCTGTTCGCAAACCTGCAAGGACGCGGGCTACCTAGACTGGATCCTTCGAAGTCCGTGAAAATAAGGAGTGTGAATTCCAACACGTCTACCCTTCGGCGGGTTTTACCGCCGTATGCTCTGTTGCGTAGGAACCGTGAAAGTTGACACACAAAGCAGGAAAAGAATGAATACCGAAGTTTTCGAAACTGTTTGTTTAGTTTTTTTTCTATATTATAAAGTGAACAAAGACTCACAAGAATCCAGAGTGGAATAAAGGAGCCAACCACCGGGAGCAGGAACAAATAAAAGCAAATATAATGATAAAAACCTTTGTCAGTTAAATAACCTGCTGCTGTCATTGTGCACATCTCTCATGTTGCTGCTATTTTCAAATATCCATTACTGTAAAAATGTCCATAGATGGATATTGGTTATTTATTCTCCGGTTTTATATTGTTAAAACATTTTAGAGTATTTTATTGTTTACCTTTTAACTCTTCCCTATTATGTTATTCTTATACATTTTTCTAAGGTCCACATTTGTGTGACCATTTTCAATAATCTTTCTGCTGCTGTAAATTTGCCCATTGTGGGACAATAAAGGGATTTTCTATTCTATAAAAGGGATAGAAATATATAAGTAAATCTAAACAATGTATGTATAAAAAAATACATCTGCAAAATCTCTAATATTCAACAACAAAAAATTCTTAACTAAGCATATTGTGCAAAACAGCAATAAAAAAATTTAACTCCTATCAGATTTATAGTTCCCACTCTGCAGATCTATTAGAATCTGTCCTTAAATTACAGCCAAACCCATTTACACAGTAACAGATAAAAACCTTTAGATAAACCAAACATTACCGCCACATATCTGACTCAGTAACCATTAAAACAACTCTTTACTACTTACCTACTTCTATCAGTAATCATTCTGCATAAAATTGATATTTACAAATACTAATATCTACATAAACTGATTATTTAATAAGTTTTTATTAAATTGTTATTTATCTGTGATTTCACTGAAGACTCCTAGATGGCTATCAGAGACACATCATTCTCTCTTTACCCCATATACCACAAAATCTAGTTCTGAAAAGAGCATGAATTCTGTACTTATTATCTGTAATGCTAGTAAATTGATGTGTATAATTAACTACTCATCAAACTAAATAATTATCCATAACCAGCATCACTTTTTCTGGTACTAATATCCAGTTAGTAATCTTGGTGTAAGAATGGACTCACAACTCACTTTTGAAGCCCACATAAATTATTTATGCAAGACCTCTTTCTACCACCTCCGAAACATTTCCAAACTCCTTCCCATTCTCTCCCTCCCACACGCCGAAAAGCTGGTTCATGCCTTTGTCTCCTCCAGACTGGACTATTGCAAAACTCATTCTCATTGGGATCCCTAAAAAGAGTCTGCAGAGGCTTCAGTACATTCAAAACTGATGAGAGTACGTAAACATGAGCACATTACCCCCCATTCTCCATTCACTACACTGGCTTCCCATCTCCACCAGGATGGAAAAGAAGCTTTCCCTCCCCACACATCAATGCATCCATGGACATGCCCCCCCCCACCTTAAAGAACTTATCAACCCACAGAACACAACCTGCTCCCTTCGCTCCACTCACTCAAACCTGCTCCACATTCCCAGAACCAGACCCAGGACAATGGGAGATAGAGCATTTTGTGCTTCTGCCCCACATCTGTGGAATGCCCTCCATGACACCTTGAGGGCACCTCAATCCACTAAGTGTTTTAAAAAAAGGCCTTAAAACATTTCTTTTTAGCAGGCGCGCTGGAAGCTGTTTCAAGCGAGGGGGGCTGATGGCTGGGTTGGAAAACACATGACGTCATTATGTTGAGGGCTGTGGCTGACGTTTTTAACATAATATTGTAGGCCTACATTTGTCGCAAAAAAACTTCCATTTAAAATGCATCGGAACAAAGCATGAACATTTTAAACTTTATTTCTTCTCTTTTAATCATTCAAAACAAACAACAGCTCCCAATCAACAGGATCAGGAATACTTGAATAAAACATGGCCTAAATATAGCCTAAACTGAGCATTGAACGTCTTGAAAGTCCATTCGACTATGGATATGGGGGAATGATTTCATATCTAAAACAAAAAACACACACACACAAAAAAAAAATTAACTAATTTAATATTTATATAATATTTAGTGTTATGCAGCCTTATTCTACTTTAGTTTCTTCGGGCCACAGGACTAAGACTTTAGGCACATAAAAAAATCCCTAAATGCGGCAGTATAGGGGTTTTTAAAAACCATTTTTACCCGAAATTGTCAAAAAGGGACTTTTTGGGCTGAAAAATTGCAAAGCCAACCAAAAGGGAATTGAGGGTGGGGGGATGTTCGGGGGGAGTGCCATTTTTTTTATGAAATATCAAAATAATGAATCTTTTTGTTTATTTCTTAAAACAAAACCCATTATTTAAAATCCCAAACCCAAACCCCCAGTTTTTAAAAAAAAAAATACATAAAAAATTTTCCTTTTTTTTAATTTCCCAAAAATTAAATGTTACCCACAGCCCCCCCCATGGGGGGCGGGGAAAAGCTATGACGAGGGGGGGCTGCAGCCCCCACAAACCCCCCCTTCCCCGTGCCACTGTGGGGACCCTTTTTTAGTAATAAAAAGCCACATTTTTAAGAGGGCATCTAAAAAAGGGAAATAGTATTTGTTTGAAAGTAAAAATGCCTTCTATAAACTCCACATATGTTTATTTCATGATTTTTTTTCACAAGTAAACCCCGGGAGAGTGGGATGGGGGGGGCACAGGGGAAATTTGAACACGGGTTTCATTTGGAGACGTGGAAAGTGGGATAAAATACGAAGAGAGGGGGGGCAGTTAAAGGGGGGCGTTTTGGTGATGGGTTGATAAACCCGGGGAAATCTTATACGGGACCAATAAATTTTTGGGAAAGGAATTTTTACGAGCCCTTTCCCCTTTGAGGGAATACCCTTCCAGTAGATAGCCATACCTCTTGGCCCCCCGGAGTACTCAGGGGGCGGGACGTCTTTTTGGGTCGGGGGAAACCTTTGTAGTCTCGGAGGAAACAATTGGGGGGTAGGATGGTTTCTCTCCAAATGCTTTTGGAACGTTCTTTTGTTTTGGGGTTTATGACTGGCCCCGAAATCTCTCCCCTCTTTTGGGGGGAAAAAAAGTGGGGGTTTTGGGTAACCGGGGGGCTGACCAAAAACGGTGACGGGCCGGGGGAAAACAAAATTTGAGAAAATTTTATGTGCGTATTCTTTTCCAATTTTGGGTTTACTGGTCCAGTCGGTGGTTGTTTCATGTCAGACAACGGGGGTTACTCTACGGGTTGGGTTTTCTTCCTCTCAGTTTGGCCGTGGACTGGGGGGTGAAAACCCGGGATGTTAGAGAGGCCCTTACAGTAAGGGGGAACCCAAAAACCCTTTCCCAAATTTGGGGAAATTAAAAAAACTGGGGGCCACGGCTGAGGGGGATCTGGGGGGGGAAGCCTTTGTAGGGGAAAGGGACATGTTTCACCAGGGGGGGGGGTTTAAAAACCGTGGGAAGTTCCTGAGGGGGTATAAAGGAAGATTTCGGGGAAATCGATAATCGTTTTTGGGGGAAAAAAATTTGGCAAAAAAGTTACCCCGGGAAAATGGGTGAAACCCCCAGGGGGCCCAAAAATGCTACTTGTTGGGGTCCGGAAACCCCGAAGGCTTAAAAACCCCGGGAAGAGGATTGAAAACAGGCCTTAAGGGAGGTTTTTTTTTTGTGAGTTTTAATTCGGGAAAAAACAGGTGGAAACAGCCCAACAAAAAATTTCCCTTTATTTTCCCCTTGGGGGAAGATTGGCCAAACCAAAAGGGGGAAAAATTTTTTAAACCCCCGAGGGTTTTTTTACTTAAAAAACCCCCCTTTGGAGGGGCCGGGGGAATTTTTTTAAGCAAGCAAATCCCATCCCAAGGAAATTTAGGCGAGATTGAAGAAGAGGGTTAAGGGGTTTTTTAAGTTTTTTGTTTATTTGGACCTTTTAACCTGGGCCCCCGGGTTCCCTGAGTCCTTTGGCCCCAAGGGGGTTTAATTAAAACCCCATTTGGTTTTTCCCCCAAAGGGAAAAACCCCCTCCCAACCCCCTTTTTAACATTGAATGGGGGAAGGGGAACCAGTTTATGGGGTTTTCGGGTTGCCCGGTTTTTGGGTATAGACACCCGGGGAATTCGGGTTTTTGACTTTCTTGGATTTGGTTCGGTGAGGAGTTTAATGGGGTTGGTTCCGTTGTAAGGGAAAAAAGGGGGGGGCCCACCAGGTTATTACCGGGGTTTTTCCAAACTTTGGTTTTAGCGGGTTTTAGGGAATTTTTAAGGGGGCAAGGGTTTTTTTAAATGGTCCCAAAACCGAGAACCGGGTGCTCCCCCCTTTCCTTTCCCAGCCAAAGGGTTTCCCTCCTTTTCCTCCAAGCGCCAACTTGGATGGCCAGGGGGAACCAAACGGGCCCTTCCAAAACCGTGGGTTTTGGGCCAAAAAGTTTAAAGGAAAAAGGGAATTTTCTTTTTGAACGGGGGTCGAGTCCTGAGGGGTTTAAGAAAAGGCTCCCAAAAAACCAGAAATTCGGAAACCCCGCCCCAACTTTCGGGGATGGGAATTTGTTTTTGGAAATGGGGCCGGAATTTAACCCAAACGGGGTTTTTGGAAAACCCAAAGATTTTTTCAGTCCTCCCCCAAAAATGGCGGGTTTGGGGTTTGGCCCCCCAAGGGGGGGGGGTTTTTTTCCCATTTGAAAGGGTTCGTTTAAATGAGGTTAACGGGGTTAGGGGAAATGAGGGGGGTGCTATGGGTTCCCTTGATGGAACCCGGCGATAAAAATTTGGGGCGAAACCCGGGAAAACCCTCGGGCATTGCTTCCCGGTTTTCGGGAACCCCGGCCCAATTCCAAAAAAACCTTTTTTTGCCCCTCTAAAGGGTTTTTAACCTGCCCCCCCCTCGAGCAAAAAACCCCAAAAAAGGGGGACAAAAAGGGCCTGTTTGAAACTACTTTTTCTCGGCTTTGAAAAACCCGTTTTTTTCCCCAGAAATTTTTGCAACACAAGGGGGGAAACCGGTTTTTATGCTCAAAAAAAGGTTTCCCTTTGAGTAAATGGGGTAGGGTACCCGTTGAAACGAAACACAACCCACATTAAAAAAGTCTCTGAGAACGTCATTCAAAAGGGGTTTGAAAACGGGCAGGAGCATTTTTTTAAAACCAAAGGGAAATGCCCAAATATTCGAACGGGCCCCAAGGGGGGTTTTTAAAAGGGCCCCCTTTTTTTTTCCCACTCATCTCCTTAACGGTTTTCCCTAAGAAGAGGGAAAAAGCGTTCCCCCCAAATTTTAGTTTGGTGAAAACAGTTCCCCCCCCTTGTACATTTAAAAAAGCTGAGGGGGAGTATTTGGAAGGGGGTACTTTTTTTTTTTTAAAAAGTTTTTTTGGTTTTCAGGCCCGAAAATCAATACTTGTCTTAAAAAAAACCCCCTTTTTTCCCTTACGAAAAAAAAAAAACCCCGGGCACCCAAGGGAAAGAAGAAGAGGGGCAAATTTATCCCACAGCTAAAAAACTCTTTTATGTTTTTTCCATATTTTTCTCGTTCGGGTTTTGGAAAAAATTTGTTTTAGTCGCTGTGGGTAGGGTTTTCCAGGTAATAGCTCGATAGCACAGTCATATGGTCTGTGTGGGGGGGAAGGGGAAATTTTTTGCCTGACCTTACGAAGACGGGAAGCCAAATATGGTACTCAGAAGGGACAGAAAAAAGGCCCAGGAGAGCCCCCTTTCCCCCCCCCAAACCTTTTGGGGAGACCCCCCCCACGGGGGCTGCCGAACGGAGGCATGTTCGTAAACAAAACCCCGGTTGACCACGTTTCCACATGATGATCGGGGTTTCCATTTTAAATTGTTGGATTATGTTTCTCCAACCATTCGAATCCAAGCACCAGGGGAGAGCTTCAGGGGGAAAAAACCCAAAAAATGTTAGGGTTTTTCACGAGGGTTTTACCTGAGAGTAGTACTCGAGGGTTGAGTTTGAGGGGTTTAACCTGGTGGATTTTTTTTTCCCTTTCAATAGCTGAGACATAAGAGGCTGGGTCGGGGGGGTTTATTTTCCCAATTTCGAAGCTCCCTGGAAAAGGGTTTAAAAATTCAATTAAATTTCGTTCACAGCCTGAATCGATGAAGGCAAAAAAAGAGAGGTTTTTATTAGAACAAAACAAAGTGGCAGGGGCATCGGGTCGGGGGGAGATTTTTTTAGATTTTTCAGGGGCCCCACCGGGACTCCTCAGAACCTCTAAGGGGCCCCCGGCTTTTGTTTTAAATTTGGGCAAGAAGGGATAAGTCCCCCACTCTAAAACCACGTAGATGCCATATTTGGGCTCAAAAAACGTCTTTGTTTTTCCCCTGTGGGGGTGAGTGGTTTTGTCCCACCTGCAGGGGTTTTTTTTCGCATCCATTTCTCCGGAATGAGGGGCCTTTAAAACGGGCAAAGGAAAGAGACGGGGGCTTTAAATCTGGGTTTTAAGCCCAACCCTGTTCTGTGGGAGCAGAAACAAAAAAAGTAAAAATTATTAGCCCCGAAAGGGGCAGGGGAAAAAAAGAAACCAAAACCCCTTAACTTAAAAAACTTTTTTTCTACCCTGGGAAATTTCTTTTGGGTCCAACTTTATCTTTCAGAGGGTTTTAATTCTTAAAGGGTGACAGGTTGGGCGGGGGTTGTAGTTCACCCCTTGTTTGCTTTCATTCAAACCATAAAAAAACCCCCCCCTTTTCAGAGCGCTTTGTTTCCACCCGGGAAAGCTCATTTTTAAACCCAAATTTGTTAATGGAAAAACTCCGCCACTGAAAAAACCTCCTTTTTAAAGGTAAAAAAAGAGCCCCGAAGTCAACCCTTTTTGACTGTTTCTTGGTTAAAAAATTGGGGGAAAATTCAAGAAAAAAATCGGTTTTTTTTGAAAATTTAAGGTTTTCCCGTCAGGGAAAAACCTTCCCCTGAGCCCTTTCCAGGGTTTTTCCCGGTCAATAAGACAAAAAAAAGGTTATTTTAACATGACCCTGGGGGGAAAATGCCAGGAGAGTTTAAAAAAATTTAAAACGCATTGA